GTCAGGTGTGTATCTGTAATGAGTGCTACTTCGATCCGTTTTTCGTACAAGTATAAGTCGAGTTCAGTACTGTGCTGTTTCAGTCCATTGGCATTCAATAGAAGAACTGACAAGGAGCCTACAGTTAAATTATTGTGGGCCATAATTTGGGCACCAGACCTGTGTAACCTGTGACAGTTGTTGAAGAAGAATAAAAAGGGGCTGGATTAGGTTATTTAATCCATTAATTATATTAAATAATTGGGAAGAGCCATTATCTACCGGAGGTATCGGTTGGGCAATGCCTCTCCTCGTACCTGTACATGTTTTCTGGTTCTGGGGTGCTGAGCTAGATGATGTTTGATTTTGTTGTTGCGGAGGTCCTGCGATGATCTGTGGTTCCCCTTGGTTGTGACGTTGCCGTATTGGGGGGAATTCATGCATGCCTAGAGGTCCCTGCGCTGGCTCTGCTACTGTGGAACGCTGAAAACGATTTCTTGCATTGCGCTGAACCCTGAGATCTTTCAGCGTCTGGCAGCCTCTGTAATTAGCGGGGTGCTGGCCGGCATAGTTGGCGCATTTCGCGGGGGTGTCTCTGGTTTTCAAACATGAGCTGGTTTCTTGATATTCACCGCACGTTACGCATCGTGGTCGATGGTTGCAGTAAGTTTTAGTGTGCCCATATTGCTGGCACCGAACACACTGAGGAATATTTCTCTTTTGACGCGGTTCCTCAATTTTAATGTGTGAATAATAAAGGAATTCAATACTAAAAATTTCTTCTCTAAATATCTCTTTGGTAATGTCCACAAAGAACATAGGAAGGGTTTTTTTGAGTCTAGATGTGACGTTAACTACATTGGTGGCTTCGTAACCCAATTTTTTAAATTCCTCTTTAATGATATCGATGGTGTTCCATGGTGAAGATATTTAACAACAATCCTTGGGCATTTGTCCTGTGGAAGTTGGTAAGTATGGAAGTCGGCGCCTTTATTTCGCAGGCTAGAATTTAATTTTCGATAAACGTCAGGATTTTCTGGGTACACAGTGACACCTTTCAATGTAGACTTAGTTTTAAACATATTAGGACCCGTTTCGTTTTCTAGAAATGAGATTAATGCATGGTAATTTTCAACACCGTTTATAAAAATTGATGGAGTTTTATTGTTTTGAGGCGCTCTTCTAACTTCTTCTGTTTGTAAATTAGTAATGTTGGTTAGAACCTGAAAACTGTTCGAGGTTCGGATAGATTCTGTCGGTCGTTTTTGAGCTCTTAGCTCGCTCGAATCTATCATAGGTCTTTTACAACCAATAAATAGTTCCCAGGAGCTGTCTTCATTGTTTATATCACTGTTTTTAAAGTCCATGTTACTTACCTCAGTTTGAGATGATTCCACCATTGTTGGCGGTGAAATCCGCTCAATCTTTGTTTTGTGTTTTGTCCTTAGCAATTTTGTCTTGATAAAACACTTTTGCTACACAAAAATTAAGTATTTACACTTAATTAACACTTTTTTGGAAGACAAAACTAAAAAAAACTCACTAATAATAATTAACATCTGTTTTTTTTTTTTAAAACCTTTTATAACAGCTGTTTTGCCTGCAATTAAAAATAATACATTTCACATTGTATTCAAACGTAAAAAAATCAAACGTTCATAGTTAACAAATTCCTGAACATCCTCCCACCTTGAGGAGTTTATCACTACTCAACAAACATTTCTAGAAATAATTACAAACAAATTATAACCAATAACCAGCACGTAAAACTCAAATTCTCTCAAACTGATGTGAACTACAAAAGGATTCAAAGACTAGGCATTTGCACATTTCTGCCACATCGTGTTTGTAATAAGCGATTACCCTTTTTCTTCAGTTCTTTGTTCTCTTCGAAGTCCGAAATTCGTTCTTCTGTAGAAACTTCGCATTCAGAAGTTGTCCTACTGAGAATCTCCAAAGGATACATACGCTGAATGGGTCTGTTGATTCTCCAATTAGCCGTGCGAACAGTAACTAATTAGTCTGTGGGCCAGACCCCCTTACCGTGCACCGCCCCCCCCCCACATCCCTATAAATTGCATATCGTTGTGTTCCTTGTAGCTATTTATTAAAAAAAAGCCAATGTTCCTACAAAAAAAAGTGAACGCACTGACCCAAAATGGCGTCCAAAGATGGCGGATTGACGACTTTGACTTTAGTTAGTATTTTGGTCACTGAGAATCAGCATTTGGCTTAATTTCCTCATAGTTGGTCTTTTATTAAAGCTGTATAGTCATAGAATAATAAAACATGAAGAAATATTAAAAAATAATTGGTTTAGGCTATGAAAAACACCAGTAAAGTCAATTTTTTTGACAAACAAAATTTTCAAGTTACAAATCAAGCGTCGTTTGTAATTAAACGGCCTACAATAATGCAAAACGTGCTGAGATAAAACATCTGGAGAATATATTTCTCTTTCTAAAACGCTGATTATTTTTTAAAAACTTGTAAGCGGTTCCGCAGAAAAGCGGTACTGGCGTGGGTGCCTACAGGCCTCAACCACACCATTCAGTACACATAAATGGCTTAGTTATAGTGATATAATAACGTTTTTGGTACATTATATTGGCTTTATTAACGAACAAATATTAATGCAATAATTTAATTGTAAAAAAAAAAAATTAAATTAAAAAAAATTATTATTTGTTTTTATTTAACCTCTTTTATTATATACGTAGGTCGTTTAAGGAGACCTCAATCGTAAAAATGATATAATTATAATAATAAAACTTAATTAAGAAATAATTTGCTAAATATCTTGATTTTTTTTTAAATTTAACGTTTGCAATTTAACACTGTGTTTTGTATGTTTATTGATTCTTAGAGGTAATTAAAATTTTTATATACTCCCAGGAAATGAGTCATATTAATACCTGTTTTATAAACTAAAATAATATATACCTAATCTGAACTATATATAATGAATAGCTACCGGGTTGTTTAGTAAAACTCATATATCTCTAATTAAAAAATTAATTTTTATTTTTAATGATGTAGAGATGGTTGACCGTTGATATAATATGAGAAGGAGTTAGTCGGTGGTGCGGTCAGATAAATACTAAATTAAAATATAGTAATTATTTTATTTTAATTTTGCCGACGTTTCGACCCACTTTGCAGGTCGTCTTCAGGGCGTAGGATGTAGCACCAAGGTATTTCAAGATGCTGCTAAAAGGAGGTCAATTGCAGTTTGGATGATATTAAATGGACGATGTAGGTTTATTATGGTAAAAACCACTTTATTTTCGATTGCTGAAGGTGCACATCGGGTCTATCTTTACTTTGGAGCAGGATATAGAGAGGCATATCGAGAAAGTTATAGTGCACGGTAAGGGGGTCTGGCCCACCGTGCAAATCTGCATTTTCCATCTTGGCCAGGAATCATTCGTTCTATTACTCCTAACGGCCAATCGATTCTTTTTATATTATCATATCCAATAAGAACTACCTCTCCAAGAGCTGGTTCACGGGTATTTTATTCTTCTTGGAATATTTAGGAAGGAGAATTCCAAAATATTTAGCTCTAAATCGTTTGCATAATTCTTCTTTTAGCTTATTGCGATATTTCAATCTTCTACCAAGTTCAGACTTTTCAATTTGATCCATATCTGGAACTCCACTTTCTTTAATTTCTTGAAGAAACATCTTTGGAGTGATAGGGATAGGATCCGTGGCAGTATCAGAAACATATGTGATTGGTCTTGAATTAACCACACTTTCGCATTCACAGATTACTGTATACAGTTCTTCAGCGGTTAAACATGCTCTTCCTAATATCTTCCCCAATAAGATTCAATCAGGCCAACCAAAAGTTCCCAAACCTCCTCCTCCCCCACCAAGCTGCACCTGGTGTGTCGGATCGCCATTCTATTTTTTTAACAGAACTACAAACTGTGATCTGTTTCCAATCAACCCTTTTTAGTAGAGAATCCATGCATCGGAAATTTGTTACATTGTCACTGTATATAAAGCTCGGTCTCCTACGGCGTGCAATGAATCTTCTGAGACTCATCATAAATTGTTCAGTCGATAAAGACGAAACGATTTGTTAACCATAAACGTTTGATTTTTTTACGTTTGAATAAAAAGTGAAATATATTATTTTTAATTTATTTATTTACTTTATTCAAGTTCTCATTGTTATTCATTTTGGTTTTACGAGAAACACTGGCATCCCTTGTGGGGACTTGAATAAAGAAGTGATTGAGTGCAATTTAAAAAAAAACAAACACAAAACTATATGTTAGCAAATTTTACAAAGTAGAGTTTATATAGACACACAGTTTTTCTAACTAATAATAATTAACATCTGTTTTTTTTCAAAACCTTTTATAACAGCTGTTTTGCCTCAATTAAAAATAATACATTTCTCATTGTATTCAAACGTAAAAAAAATCAAACGTCCATGGTTAACAAATTCCCGAACAGCGACATTTTTTTATTTCTCTTGTTACCGATTGGAGATGGAAACATAAAAAAACAAGAAACAAAAACACTAGCATAGGAAAACAACCATTTAAATATTTGTTTTTCTCATAGTTTGTGAAATGTCTAAACGCACCTTAAAAGTTTATTTCAATTTCCTGCTAGTAGTTGATTATTACTGGTTCATTTTAACTTCCCTCCCCCTCATTTCTTAAATATTTAGGAATATTAATAGAAAAAATCATCTCACATTCAATTATAATATATTTTTATATGTTTTTATCTCTTCGATGTGTTATTCTGAGTAATAGAAGTTTTGGTATTTTTAAATGACAGTTAACTATAGCAAATATAGAAATGTCACTTTGTACAGTTGGCTAGCTTGCAAACCCCTATCACTACTATCAAAGAAAACAGGTTTCGAGAACCTGTCCCTATGGAATGTGTTTGGTTAACGCCATACTAAGTACAATTTCTGACATATTTGTTTTCTACCAATTTGTTGGTTAACTTAGAAGAACTGACATGTTTCAAATTTGAGAGCTTTAATAACAATGTCTAGATTTATTAACCCTAGCTCTACGAGGCAGTCTGAGTAAGTGTCACTTAGTGTTAGTATTGTTTAAAATAGTGGAATTCCGTAAGCTCACTGTAGCCTATCATTCTAATTACCACCGTGATTTTAGTGATACTATGGATGATGATACAGATGATAAGGATGACACCAAAAGGTTAGTTTGTTTAGGTATACATTGTTCAATGGATAATAGGTGTATTTTAAACAATGTCTTTATTAAACTTAAGGATCATGGATAGTATTATTTTTGGAATGAAGTAAATTATTATTAATAACCTATAAATTAAATCAGTTAGGTTTTATTTAGGATCTTTTCTAATTTTGCTGGTTTTCAGAAAAACGAGGAATTTAAGTGAAAAGAAGCGTAGAGATCAATTCAATCTTCTTATTAATGAACTAAGTTCCATGGTGACAACCAACAATCGTAAAATGGATAAATCAACTGTTTTAAAGTCTACCATTTCTTTCTTAAAAAATCACAATGGTAAGTATAATTTTTCATTTTGAAATATGTTTACTTTTCCTGTACTCAGTTTCTAAAATGTTATAATTTATTATAACAATTTTAGACTTGGCTGTTAGATCTCGCGCAAATGAAATTCAGGAAGACTGGAAACCTTCTTTTTTATCTAATGAGGAATTCACCCATTTGTTTCTAGAGGTGAAGATTAATTTGAATTTATTTACCTTCTTCACCAATCGTAATTTATCTTGAAGTTCTCATGTTTTTTCTTGTCACAGGCACTTGACGGATTCATAATTGTATTCTCTTCTACCGGACGTTTATTGTATGTTTCTGAAAGCATTATTTCTCTCTTAGGACACTTTCCTGTGAGTAAAGAATTTTTTTATTTATTGTACTGTCACCAATCAAATATTAATTTATTATGCTTAAAAATCAAAACATTCTGATACATAACAAAATATTCTTAATACAATGTTTTTATTATTAGATTATACTATAGAAGTTTCAAATCAGGTTAACAGGTGCACCTAGATCACATGATCTCGCTGTTCCTGGAATACCGAAGCTTGCCGAACTAGTCTATTTAATGATAGGCTACCTTAGGTTACATTTTATACTCCAATAATTAAACAAAATTTAACTAATTAAATTGACTTATTTATAACACTTAAGTACACAAAATTTAAGAATTTCGCTCGTTATTTTTGCATAATATTATGCATTAGACAATTATAACCATTATTATGTTGGTCTTTAGGTTCTGTTTTAACTTTTCAGTCTTTTCCTCAATTAATAATAGTCAGTTATCGAATTCTTAGATTTGTAATTGTTATTTTTAATGGAAGTTATTGTGTTTAATAATCCGAAAAAGTACAATAAGTCTTGATTATTGTTGGTAAGAAAAATAAAAATTGTGTTTATTTGGATATTCAGTGTATTATGTGACCTAAATGTAAGTCAATAATTCAAAACACTATAAATTGTAGTGTTTTTCATTGGTTTGAAAAATAAAATGGTACTTATTTTGATATTCGGTATCTAATTTAACCTAAGCACTTGGAATACGTCTGATCACACATTTATTTTTCAATATGGAGGTTTGAAAATTGGTCGTCTCCTTATGCTCTTGGATAAGTACGTTTTGATTGGAGTAATCTTGGTGAACCTATCAATTCAACGTGACACTTCTGTTCAATTTTAATTTCAGTTAATGCAAAAGTGAATCTGTCAATATTAGATGCTTACATCAATTGACATAGGGTATATTTGTCTTAATAGAACTATATTTTTGTGCAAGCATAATCCGTGATACCCTACTTAATTATTTGAAGGAATTGGGTTGCTATGTAATTTTACAGGTGAACTCAAATCTTTCTATTGGGAATTTATTGATAGTGATAGTGACATGATTTGAAAATAGAAGTGTATTTCTTCAAAAGTTTTCTCAAAGAAAATAAATAATCAAGGTGTTGCTCACTAACACGATTATCTGTTTTAAGTCAGTTACTTTTTCATTTCATTATAGTTGTTCTCTCATTGATAATTCATTGCCTTTATTAATTAAGGGTTGAAAAACTTCCTTCTTTATAATTTTTTTTTTATAAATTGCTGTATTAGTTGTAAAACTTAGTTGTAAAACTTTGGATCTTCCTCATGCCATTTTCTTTCCTTTCTTTACAGAATGATTTATTAAGTATGACAATTTATGATCTGGTGTATGAAGGGGATCATTCAGAATTATATAATATCATCTTAGGACCAACTGCAGAGTATGATGAAGGTAGTATTACTAAATAAAGATAAAATGTTTACTATTTGTTTGTCAGTTTATTAAGAAATTGTTTTTATTCCTTTAGACAATGAAGTATCTTTTGTATGCCACTGTAAAAGGGGAGGATCGGATGTGAAAGGAGAACCTGTCTATGAAGTGGTTCAGTTCCTTGGGCAATTTCGTATGTTTCTGAACTTATAATGTCTATTTATCATAGTTGTTACTTTTAATTGTTTTCCTTTTATATTTTGCTTTAGGAAGTGATGTTGACTCAGTACATGTTGATAATGGCGTTTCTTGTCATTATAATTATCCATCTGAATCAGATACAAGGTATTTTTAACAATAAGTCATTAACTATATTGTATTATTATACATTTTTTACTTTCTGAGTATTTTGTATTTTTCTTTAGGTGGATATTTGTTGGTACCGGAAGACTTCAAACTCCGCAGCTGATACGTGAACTTTCAATAATTGATTCAACAAAATGTGAATTCACGTCAAGGCACAGTCTAGAGTGGAAATTTTTGTTTTTGGATCATAGGTCAGTGTTTTATTCAGGGTTCCCAGCAGCCTTGAATTCCATAATGTTTAGGATTAATAATTGAATTTTTTATGTCAGAAAAAAAATCAGAAGTTATGCTTGAAAAATACCCAGTTGTCGAGAATTTTTAGTTTTGAGCCTAGTTGTATCATTTCTTTATTAAAACTTGACAAGTGTATAAAGTGTTAAGAAGAAAATTTATCTGTTAGTTTTCATTTCCACATCTGGTCCAAGAATTTTGGAATGACTTTTCTTCTAAGTAAAGATTAATTTACAAGCTACAACTTAGCGTACATCAATTCAGAAACAAAAATTCTCTTACCTAAAATGGAGCGTGTAATTAGAAAATCATAAATATAATTGAATCTGAATGAAGTTCATGATTGATTAGGTAGTTTGATTACAGCGAAATTATTTTTGAGGAATAGAACAACAGAAGATCTCCTATAAACAGCTTTAATCATTTCATGTTACGCTGTAAACCAAAATATAATATATGTAAAAATAACACTGTAGTATTTTTGAAATCGATTTCTCTGTATATATATATAAATAATTATTTTTAAAAGGAAATAACATTGTTGAAGAAAGTATAAAATATTAATGACAAAGTATTAATTTTTATACAGTATACTGTATTTCTTAAATGAGAGGCTCTCTCCAAAATGACATTTGTTCTATGTTAAGGTTGGGATAGTGTTTGTGAGCAACTATTTAGAAGTTACCCTAATTGTATTTTAAGAGAGATTAGTATACCCCAGTGACAACTCACACATTAAATAGCTATCTTTCTTCCTAAAGCATTCGACATATAGGCGATAGCGGCAAAACATGTTTATATACTGTAAAATATTATCAAGTACATCAAATTTAGTGAAACAATTGACTTAATAAGTGACTAGCTTGTCCCATTGGAAAATAACCCTCCAGTTTAATAGATAAGCAATAAGACGTAGCTATCTCTAAACTCATATTAATCCATTATTGTACTTGCTCAAGACCTATTTGTTTAGTTTGTCACAGCCTTGTTTTGTAGTTATATCACTAAGATTATAGAGGCCATACCTGGATTTTTTTTTATATATACATTTTTTTTTTTTATTTGGGTTTTATACAACTTAAGGAGTCATATCCCCAACACCCAAAAGCCACTGCTCCCTGTCCATCCTATCTCCTTCACGAAGCCCTCTGGCTGCCATGCTTTCTTCCACGTCCTCTGTCCATTTCTTCCTTGGCCTTCCACGCTTCCTTCTTTCAGGTGGCATATAGTTATAGATTTTCTTTGGCCAGCGGTTCTCATCCATCCGCATTAAGTGGCCATACCACTTTAACCGTTTGGTCCCGATCAGGTGAAGGATGTTCTTTTGACATCCGACCTTGACTCTAACAGCTGCGTTTGGGATCCGCTCGATTCTGGATATGCCACAGCTTCTTCTCCAGAAATTCATTTCCATGGAAAGCAACTTATTTTCCATCTTATACATAGAAAGAAAATAAACTTTATTCTGGGACGAGGTCCCTTATGAATAACAATTATTAACAAACAAATAAAAACCAGATCTGGCCAAAAATTACATTAATCAACATTAAAGGATATATATAGTATCTTCAGTGAAAGTATGTTAAAACAAATAAAAAATAATACCATTTTGAAAAACAAAACAAACATTATTTAAATCAAAAGAAAAACAGAAATCAGATAAAATAAAAAACAGAATAATATAAGCATGGGTTGATTTTTAAAATTAAAACTGAAACAATTTCAACAACCATTCACCTCAGTCAAAATTTGTTTCATTGTACAACATCATTTTAGGATGTGAGAAGGAATTGGTAGAGATGATATTTGAATGAGGACAAGGAAGAGGTATGGCGGATATCAAATGGCAAGGAATTCCAGAAGGCAATGGATCGGGCAATAAAGGAATATTCAAATGTCTTAGTTCTATAAAGGTCCGAAACAAGGGATCTTGTTTTGGAATGGACCATGGGTTTAAATTGTAGGAGGCTGTGGATGTAGGAAGGGTGTCGGGTGTTGATCGTTTGTAATAGGAAAGAACCAAGGAAATATTATCTGTGGAAAGAAGGGAAGAGCCACTTTAACTCGTAAAGGTGGGACACGTGAGACCGCCTCGAAGTACCGAAGACAAATCTTAAGCAAGAATTCGTGAGTCGATTTAATCTATCCTCAAGTACCATCGGGATGCCTCCGTTCACCACACAACCGTGGTCAAAGTGTGTGAAAATAAGAGAGGATACAAGGAGCTTGCGGATGGGTTGTGGGAGTAGGAGGCGGGAATGATGAAATAACTTAAGGGTACCTATTAACTTTCGGGAGATGAGGGCGATATAGGATTTCCAGGAGAGGTTTTCGTCAATGGTGATTCCTGGGTTTTTAACGGAGGATTTGATATTATATATATATATCAAAAAGTTTCTTTCTATATTGTCCGAAGTGATTTTTAATACTTAACATGTAATAAGAATCCCATGGTAACTATAGTACCTAAGAGGAATTTGGCAAGAATGAACTCGATAGTTCCTCTGGAACTATAACTGGTTTGATGACAGTATCGAAATCTTTAATTTACATTTGTTGACTTTGAAACCATCTGAGTTTTGAAAGCTCCTAATTTTTTCAAGACTTTTATTTGTTGTTGAAGGAATTTAAGTATTGAAATTGGGATTTGTCACTTCCTCATTCAATTCCCTCTCGTTTGATACCTTTTTAAACAAAATACATCGGTTCTGGAAGCCAGAAAAATACTACCATATTATATATAGTATAGATTAGTTGATGAATCTTGTATGTATTGATCATTGATCATTTCTTTGTGATAAAAAAAAAAAAAATTATATAATTTCATAGGAAGTGAATTCTGAAGGTTTTCGGTTATTGTAATTCAAGTATTAGGGATTTGATAAAAAAACACATTAAAATTATAAAAACAACTGTTAATATGATTAATTTAGAAAACAATAAATAATGTTACTTTACTGTTGAAAGTACACAGTTGAGTATTGTCAATGTTTCAACATTATATATTGAACTAGGTATTTTCAAAGTTATACTATTCTGAGTATAAAGTATGGTTTGATCTATCCCTATAAATAACTCAAAGAGGGTTAGTTCTGGAACTTATTTCTCTTGACAGTATGAAATCAGAAAATGCTGCAATCTACTCTGCAGAAGAAATGGTATGTTCTTGGCAACCCCTTTGAGCTGTGTTATAATTTTAAATGAGTTGAGAATTATTATTTAATATATTTTTTAAAATTGTATTTATATTTATAAATAATGCAGTTATCCTTCTTTTCCAGAGCACCTCCAATAATAGGTTATCTTCCTTTTGAAGTTCTTGGAACATCAGGATACGATTATTATCATGTTGACGATTTAGACAAAGTAGTGACTTGCCATGAAGCTTGTAAGTTATGTTCTTAGTAATACTTTTATGTCATCATTGGAACTAATTAAAAAAAAAATTGTCATTTCTCTGATAGTAATGCAACAAGGTGAAGGCACTTCATGCTACTATCGTTTTTTGACTAAAGGACAACAATGGATTTGGCTTCAAACAAGGTTTTATATTACATATCATCAGTGGAATTCTAAACCAGAATTCATAGTCTGTACTCATAGAGTTGTTAGGTAATTATAGCTAATATATGATTTTATTGATGCTAAATAATTTTGTCAAAACTTTAATGTTTCTATTTATTTAATAGTTATGTAAATGTGATGAAACAAGGAAATGGTTGTTTCGAATCTGTAACCGATGCTTCTGAAAAATCGAAATCATATTCTCGAAATTCTCAATGGATTTCCAAATCTGGTAAGTAATCAGCAATACTGTTATTTATTTATTAAGAACTGTTGTTTATTAAATATTCAATGATTGAATATTCAGAAAAAAACTTTCCCTGAAATTCAATTATTTTTAAAAAAGATGTCTGTTGGTAATGATACTAGGCTGCGAAGGAAAAACCCTAGAAAGATAACTTCCAAGCTGTTTTTAGAAGGATTCTGTATGTAGAAAGTGTAATTCTTCTAATGGACAGGATTGTTCTAAGAAGTGTGACATGTCTGTATATAGGCCAATGTCGGCTGGGCAAATACTTTTAATTTCTGATTGACCGAGTTACTATTCTATAGGTTCTGCAGTATGGTGCTTAATATTACTTATTATCTAGTTTGTAGATTTGAGGTTCTACTTTAAAATTGTTTTTTTCATTTTGGCTGCAACCACATTATACATTCCGAGCTTTGCGAATTTATTGATACTAATAGTATATACACTGACAGGCAAAAAATTCGACACACTTGATTTTTTCATGTTTTCATCTAAAAATATTTCTGCTTTGGATTGGTCTATTGTTTTTAATGAATAAATAGGTAATCTTTTTGTTTGTTTTCAATTAGGAATGTTAATATAGAGGACGATAACCCTTAATCCTTAATTCAATGAAATGATCCTAGATTCCATATCTAAGATTCCAAAACGAACCATTATTATTCTAAAAGAAATTAATTACATCATCGTTTAGTAGCGCGTGTTTCCTCCTCTTGCCTTCACTACTTCTTGAAGACGCCTCAGCATACTTTCAACCACTTGGGAAATGTCCCTTTGCTGGAGGATAGCCCATTCCTCCTGGAGAGCCCTTTCAAGGTCCTGCAGTGTATCAGGAAGTGTTGCACGCGCTCTTATTCGTCTTCCGAGGTTATCCCATAAATGCTCAATGGGGTTCAAATCTGGAGAACGTGCTGGCCAGGCTAAAACCTCAATATTCTTCTTTTGAAGGAACGTCTGCACTATGCGGGCGCCATGTGGGCGTGCATTATCATGCATTAGAATAGAATGATTGCCGATTTTGTTGTCGATAGGCAACACATGAAATTCCAAAATCTCATCTACATAGTGAATGGCCGTCAAAGACCCTCCACGAACAACAATCAATTCTGTGCGGCACTCCATTGAAATCCCAGCCCACACCATTAAGGAACCATGTTGGAAAGGTTGGCTCTGGGAAAAATTACAGATATCTTTCGTATTGCATATCTTTCGTTTCTTCTTCTCCACACCCGTTCACGCCCGTCTGGAGATCGAAGAGCGAATCTTGACTCATCTGTAAAAAGTACAGCACTCCATTCATCCATATTCCAATGGCTGTGTTCTCGAGCAAAAGCCAGCCGTGTTACTCTGTGAGTTCTGGTCAACTCTGATCCTCTTACTGGACGAAAAGCCATTAATCCATACTCATTTAATCTTCTCCGAGCGGCATGTTCAGAAATTTGCACACCTCGAACTTCTTCGAGCTGATGAATCGCTTGAACAATCGTAAGTTGCCGATTTCGTAAAATTCTCAAAGTCAAAAACTGGTCATCCCGTGGTTCTGTTACCCTAGGCTGTCCTGAACCGGGCCTTCTATTGTAAGAACCAGTTTCCTGAAAACGCCTGACGGCGTCTCGTAAAGTTTCATATGGAACTCCGATGGCATTGGCTGCATATCTAATGGAATATCCATCATCAATAAGTGCCACACCATGCGCAACATCCTCAGCACTAAGAGGCATTTTTAAACTTAATATTGAAAAAATTAAAAGCTGGAGACTAAGAAATGTGCTGCAAGAAACGGTTCTGAACCAATGATACTGAATAAACATTTTGATTCCATAGAAAGTAAACATTGGAATCTAGAATCATTTCATTGAATTAAGGATTAAGGGTTATTGTCCTCTATATTAACATTCCTAATTGAAAACAAACAAAAAGATTACCTATTTATTCATTAAAAACAATAGACCAATCCAAAGCAGAAATATTTTTAGATGAAAACATGAAAAAATTAAGTGGGTGAAATTTTTTGCCTGTTAGTGTATAAAAGGCTATTAATCTGTTTTAACAGAGTATAGGATAACCATAATAGGTTCCATTGAAGCCATGGTACATCTATGTTGAAAACAAATATTTATTATTAATTTCATTTCTCCTGTTGGTTAATAGGATTTTTTACTATGACATTTATAAAATGTTTGAACTTATGAATTTAATTTAGGTAGATAACTATTGGAACAGCTATGTGTAGTGTGTCAAATTTCTTATTTAGTCTTTGAATTTATATCTGTTATTAAAAAAATATTTTTAATATCTATTATAAGTGTTAACCACTGATCAGGGTAGATGAGAGTAAAAGTATCCAATTTGGTATATTTTGATATTTAGAAAATCTACTCATCTATTTTCCTTATGTTCTGCATTAATTCTATACATTACGATCTTCATTAAATTCTGTCCATGAGCTGCTTCGATTAGAGAATTATTAATAGAAATATTGTAATTTCCCCAAATCTTTCCATTGCTATCTTTTACCCCACTTGACTAGGAAAAAATACTCCATGACAAATGAAAAGTGGATGACAGGAAACAAAAATATATAAAACTCTTTATTTTTTATAATATACAAGAACATAAACTAAATAAAAAGAAAATAATGATTAATAATAAGATACAGTATCACAGGATTAAAAATCTACTAAATGGGGAAACCTGACAGGTTTATTGAATAGTTTTATTGAATGAATCTGTACTGTTATGGATGAATTTTCACACTATGAAAGTTATCTCTTCATTGTCAATGTTATCAAATTTATTATTTAAGTTGTCTTTATGTATTTATATCTAAGTTACCTCTTTAAACAAAAATAATTAATTTTGGAAATTCCAAACCGAAGATAATCCTTGGTTTTCCCTGAGGAAGAGGGAGAGGGGTAAAGGATATTTATCATCATCCTATTTATCATCTTGATCTGATCTGGAGATGCACCTAACAAGGCTAGAGCTGCTGTTGTGCAGGCTCTTGTTTGTGCCCATCTCAGAACCAATGTATAGTGAGCTAAAAGTACACACTGGTTATAAACTACTCAGAGTGTACTTTTGCCAATAAGCCTCGGGAAACTTTCACTCCATATGGCCATTTTGTTTTTCATTGCTCGACAGGTTAGTGTACTTTATAAAGATTGGTATTTTTCTGATGAATTAAAAGATTAAATGCTCTACTATGAACAGAAAAAAATAGGCAAATATGAAGCCTTATTAGTCTGTGGGCCTGACCCCCTTACCGTGCACCCCCTCTCCCCCCCACATCCCTATAAATTGCATATCGTTGTGTTCCTTGTGACAATTTATTAAAAAAAGTCAATGTTCCCACAAAAAAAAGTGAACGAACTGCCCCAAAATGGCGTCCAAACATGGCGGATTGACGACTTTGACTTTAGTTAGTTTTTTTGTTACTGAGAATCAGCATTTGGTTTAATTTCATCATAGTTGGTCTTTTATTAAAGCTGGATAGTCAGAGAATAATAAAACATGAAAAAATATTAAAAACTAATTGGCTTAGGCATTAAAAAAAATCGGTAAAGTCAATTTTTTTACAAAAAAATTTTCAAGTTGAAAATCAAGCGTCGTTTGTAATTAAACGGTCAACAATAATGCAAAACGTGCTGAAATAAAACATCTGGAGAATACATTTCTCTTTCTAAAACACTGATTACTTTTTAAAATATTTGAAGTAGTTCCGTAGAAAATGTACATAAGCGGCAGAAAAGCGCTACTGGCGTAGGTGCCTTCAGGCCTCTACCACACCACTCAGTACTCATAAATGGCTTAGTTATAGTGCTATAATAACGTTTTTGTTATATTATATTGATTGTATTAACGAACAAATATTAATACAATAATTTAATTGTCAAAAAAAATTTTAAATTTATTATTATTTTTTTTATTTATTATTATTTATTTTTTAAAATTTAACTTCCTTTATTCTATACGGAGGTCGCTTAAGAAGGCCTCTATTATAAAAATTATATAATTATAATAATAAAACTTAATTCAAAAATACTTTGCAGAATATCTTGAATTTTTTATTTAATATTTGCAATTTAACATTTTGTTTTATATATTTACTGATTCTTAGAGGTAATTTAAATTGTATATACTTCTCCGGAAATGAGTCATATTAATATCTGTTTTATAAACTAAAATAATATATACCTAATCTGAACTACTTTTAATGAATAGGTGATTGATTGTTTAGTAAAATTCATATATCGCTATAAAAAAATCATTTTTATTTCCTTAATTTTATTCGGAAGTTGGACCATATCATAAAAAATATGAACTTTTAATATTAAATGCGTTATTCCCTCTGCACAAAATAAGGATGGAAAGGGCGAAGCTATAAGTTATTCTAGGTAACTGTAACTGATTGTTAGTATTTGGTCTCAAAATGAGGGAAAAGTCGAAATTGAACCCAAACATTGGAAAAAATACATTAAGCGAACGACAAAGGAAGTGCCAAAATTTCGGAAAAGAAAACAAGGATCAGTATCCGTTATATGGCTAAACGAATATATAGTAGACAAATGAACAGAATATTTCAAGATGCTGCTAAAAGGGGGTCAAAATGCTTGATCAGTTTGGATGATATTAAGCAGGTTTAATATGGTGAAGACCATTTCATCAGCAAGAAAGATTTGTTCTAAGCAATTGGCAAGCAGGTCTGGAGGAAGTAAACGAGATTTATAATAATGAAAACCACTTTATTTTAGATTGCTATTGAAGATGCACGTTGGGACTATCTTCACTTTGAAACAGGTTATAGAGAGGTCTATCGATAAAGGAAAATAGCTCTCCTCCTGTTTAGTGCAATTGCAAAAGATTTTTGAAGCATCTGAAAGGAAAATGAGCTTTTGTGAAATACTAGTAGATATTAGATCAATCCAAAGTGTGAGGCACTAAGCAGATAGAGAACCATTTTTCTTTCACTGTGGACTTCTCTATAATTTACCTTAAAGTGAAAACAGTCCCAATTTGCAACTTATGTTCCAATGTGCAACTTGAGTTGCTCAGACAATCGACAATATTTCTTATTTTAGCTTCTACGATTCTTGAGTAGACTTTCTTTGGTACTATAAACAGTAAGGAATCTCGAATAACATTTCCTAGTATCTCATTTCCTGTAAAGGGACAAAACTACAGTCCTTTCATATAATTTTCTAATACATTTGTAGCCTTTGTACGCACAGCATTTCGGGTCACTTCGTCCAGACCAGCTGACTTACCAATTGCTTAGATGAAATCTTTCTTGCTGATGAAATGGTCTTCACCATATTAAATCTGCTTAATATCATCCAAACTGATCAAGCATTTTGACCCCCTTTTAGCAGCATCTTGAAATATTCTGTTCATTTGTCTACTATATATTCGTTTAGCCATATAACGGATACTGATCCTTGTTTTCTTTTCCGAAATTTTGGCACTTCCTTTGTCGTTCGTTTAATATATTTTTTCCAATGTTTTGGCATTTAATATTAAAAGTTCATATTTTTTATGATCTGGTCCAACTTCCGAATAAAATTAAGGAAATAAAAATGATTTTTTATAGCGATATATGAATTTTATTAAACAATAAATCACCTATTCATTAAAAGTAGTTCAGATTAGGTATATATTATTTTAGTTTATAAAACAGATATTAATATGGCTGATTTCCGGAGAATATATACAATTTAAATTACCTCTAAGAATCAGCAAATATATAAAACAAAATGTTAAATTGCAAACATTAAATAAAAAATTCAAGATATTCTGCAAAGTATTTTTGAATTAAGTTTTATTATTATAATTATATAATTTTTATAATAAAGGCCTTCTTAAGCGACCTCCGTATAGAATAAAGGAAGTTAAATTTAAAAAAATAAATAATAATAAATAAAAAAAATAATAATAAATTAAAAAAAAATATTTTTGACAATTAAATTATTGTATTAATATTTGTTCGTTAATACAATCAATATAATATAACAAAAACGTTATTATAGCACTATAACTAAGCTATTTATGAGAACTGAGTGGTGTAGAGGCCTGAAGGAACCTACGGCAGTAGCGCTTTTCTGCCGCTTAAGTACATTTTCTGCGGAACTACTTCAAATATTTTAAAAAGTAATCAGTGTTTTAGAAAGAGAAATGTATTCTCCAGATGTTTTATTTGCATTATTGTTGAACGTTTAATTACAAACGACGCTTGATTTTCAACTTGAAATTTTTTTAATAAAAAAAATTGACTTTACCGATTTGTTTTAATGCCTAAGCCAATTAGTTTTTAATATTTTTTCATGTTTTATTATTCTCTGACTAACCAGCTTTAATAAAAGACAAACTATGATGAAATTAAGCCAAATGCTGATTCTCAGTAACAAAAAAACTAACTAAAGTCCGAGTCGTCAATCCGCCATGTTTGGACGCCATTTTGGGGCAGTTCGTTCACTTTTTTTGTGGGAACATTGACTTTTTTTTAATAAATTGTCACAAGGAACACAACGATATGCAATTTATAGGGATGTGGGGGGGGGGGTGCACGGTAAGGGGGTCTGGCCCACCGTGTATATTCTGTTTCGCTAAATGGTTAGATAAAATATTGAATATATTACATCAAAACTATTAGTGACTTTCTATTAACAGTAACATCATGAAATTCTGTTTCACAATATGAATTGATCTATGGCAGGCTCATGAAATTTTATTAATGTTTTCAATTATATTATACAATTGAATTATTGTTTATTATTGATATGTGGTTGTTGTGGTGTGTGAGTAAATGAACAGATGTGTCATTCACAGAACTTTATTATAAAAAGTTGGTTTCTACAGAAGAAATGTGCAGCAAAGAAATTTAATTGTTATTACTTGTACAAATTTAAAACAATAGTATAGATAATATTATAGATTTGAGATGATTAAGATTATAATAATTATGGTATAGCTTATTTTTCACTTTCTGTTGCAGTTAGTAAGAGAGAAAAACAAGAAGGTTTTGATACAAATTCTATGTCTGGAGACTCTCCATTGTCTAGACATTCCCTACCTGCATTATCTTCTGTAAGTACTTTTAGAATATCATGATTAAATCAAAATTGAACTCAACTAACTTTGCAGATTTGTTTCTTGTTTTTCCACATTACATAACACAGCAATGAATAATTGAAGGAAGTTAGTCGACTGTTCTACATATCATGGGTGATAAATATTCCGGACAGTCTTTTTAAAAAAAAAAAAATTATTTTTTATTTATGCCAACGTTTCAACCCAAACATGTTGGTCATCTTCAGGGCGTGGTTTGAGCACTGAGGGTGTTCAAGTACTGTGTAGAGTTCTTCTTTATTATATCTTCTATTATTTTTGTTTATTTCTTCTATTGTTTATTGTCTTCTATTATAATTGTATGTATATATTTTAATTTCTTATTTAATTTAATCATTCTTTAATTTTTTAATTATTTCCCTATTGTATGATCTCTCATTTTATTTTTATTTTTATATTTACATTCTACATCTATGTACGATCACCCATTTTTATTTTGTGTTCATATTGTACTTTTATCTATAATTTCTTAATTCTATATTGTATGTTTATTTATATATTTATAATTAATTAGTTCATAGTTATTGTATTTTTTCTTGTCTCCATCAATATCTTCGAATTTTGGTTTTGTAATACTCCTGGTTTTTGCTTTCTTTTACTACTTATTTCCCACCATCCTCCAACCAGTCAGCTATTTTTCCCATGTGTTGTTTCCCAGGTTCCCCAATTTCAATTGAAACTCCATGCTCCATACATAGTCCATTGGCCAGACCTCTTACCGGGCACCTCTCCCCCTCCCTCTCACATGCCTTTAAATTCCATATCGATGTGTTCCTAGTAACTATTAAAAAAGCCACGTTTCCACATAAAAAGTGAACACATTCCCAAAATGGCGTCCAAACATAGGGGATTCACAACTTCGACTTTAGTTAGTTTTTCAGTCACTGAGAATCAGCCACGTGCCTAATTGTGTCGTAATTGGATTTTTATTAAAGCTAGATAGCCAGAGAATAATAAAACATTAAAAAATAATTGACCTTGGTAATAACAAATATCAGTTAAGTCAATATTTAAAAAAAAATTTCAGGTTTAAAATAAAGCATAGTTTGTAATTAAATGGCCAACAGTAATGAAAAACGCTCCAAAATAAAACATCTAGAGAATACATTTCTCTTTCTAAATCACTGATTATTTTTAAAATATTTGAAACGGTTCTTTAGAAAATGCACTTAATTGGCGGAAAAGCAGCACTGGCGTACCCACCTACAATTGTCTGCCACATCATTTAGTACTCATAAATGGCATAATTATAATGCTGTAGTAACATTTTTAGTGCATTATTTTTATTGTATTAACGAACAAATATTAATACAGTAATTTAATTGTCCAAAAATATAATACAATCTATAATACAATGTTATTTGCTATAGGCCATTTAAGATGGCTTCTATTGTAAAAATTATTTATTTATAATAATAAAAGTTAATTCAATATTACTTATAAATTTAACATTTTTTGTATTTTTATTGAGTTTCAGAGGTTAGTTAAATTATGTGTACTTATATGTATTTTATATAGCTGCTGGATGGAAGCTATTAATAATAACAATAATGCATTTATTGAAACAATTTTTTTACTTATATTGCTATTTTTTACTCTTGCATAATACACTTGCTTTAAAATACCATTAGAGGATAAGTCCAACAGCGAATTTGTGCTTATATGTATTTTATATAGCTGCTGGATGGAAGCTATTAATAATAACAATAATGCATTTATTGAAACAATTTTTTACTTATATTGCTATTTTTTACTCTTGCATAATACACTTGCTTTAAAATACCATTAGAGGATAAGTCCAACAGCGAACAATATAATAATTAATCATTACATTAATTTTAATGAGATGATAATGATGCAAACATTAATTAATTAAGAGGAATTATTCATCATAACTATATTAAACATAAATTATATGATAAAATCACATAATATATAGAAATATAACAATAACAATTTGATAGAGTAATAATAATTGGTTTAAATTATTACATATTATATTAGTTAAATATTACATATTATGTAAATCATACAAACATAATCAGTCATTGAATTCTCTTATTAACAGAAAGCCTCCTTACAATATCGGATTAGCCTAAGCCAATTCTTTCCATTTAAATATTCTTTAATTTTTTCTCGATTTAAATTACTTTTCTGAAAATATTTTACACTAAACTCTCTTAATACAGGACAAATATCAAAAAAATGAACTATATCCTTCCTCTGTTTCATATTGCCAAGTGTACAGAGCCCATTTGCATCTTCGACATACCTCCTGTAATTAAGCTATAGCAGCTATCCTCTTACCTTAAAATTCCAAGTTATATGCGTTATACTTAAATTATTATTTATATATGTTATGTGATGATTTAGTTCTTTATAAATAACGTGTTTTTTCAGAGGATTTACAACGTACATTCTGGTCCTAAACAAAGTGCATTTCAATGTTTATGAACAAATGGATGGAAGCTACCATTTTTTTCTGTTCACATGGAAAGCAGATGATGATTAAGGTTTATTCCTTAAAAACAATGTTATCAGCAAGAAAGAATGATAGGAAGGGATTGGCCAGCCAGCAGGGAATTATCTGCTAAAATGCTGCAGTGCATAAACAGCAAAGGTGCAGGCAGATTTCTCCATTTTATAGAAAAGTCCACTGAGAAAGGGAAATAGTTCTCTATCTGCTTAGTGCCTCACCCTCTAGATTGTGCCAATATCTAATTGCCTTAGAGCTAATCGAAGAGTTGGTTCTATGTCCTTTCTGATTCTTTGAAAGATCTTTTCCAGATTTACTAAGTAGATAGACAGCTATTTCTTTTTCTCAATGAACTTTGAAGTGAATCGGCACATTAAATTGGGATATATCTCGAAGGCTGTTTCATTTTCTGTTATTTTCTTGCTTGTAAAAAGACACAACTACAGTTCTACAGTATCATTTTCTAATAACACGTCAGATTAAAAAATGGAGCAATATTCTTGTACCTTTGCTGCCTTTGTCCTGCAGCATTTCAGTAATTATTTCCTGCTAACTTGCCAATTCCTTTCTCTAATTCTTCCTTGCTGATAACTTCGCCTTCATCAGATTAAACAAACCTCTGTCGCCCCCGACCTTAATCTCATCCGAACTGACCCAGCTCCCTTCTATTAGCTCTCTGAAATACTCTCTTCATCATATTCCTTCCACCAAATAATGTTTTCGTCATTATCCTTGTTATATTTTCAGAGATTTTTTTCTTTCCTCATCTCCTGTGTATGTTCACAATTTTCTGGCTCACTTTCGTGTTTTTTCCCCCTTTTTCAGACCAAATACCTTCCACGATTTTCTGATACCTTGAAAAACATTTGGCTTCATTTCTTTCTATCTGTTTTTGTGCAGAGAGAAGAAAGCATTTACTATAAAAATTTTATAATTGTTTATGATATAGTCCAACCTCAGAACAAAATAAAGGAAGTAAATTTATAATTATTTTTCTTTTTTCTTTCAATCTTTCCTTGAGATCTGTAGGATTATATTCATAATTATGTATATTATCCATCCTTCTTATTACTTCAAATTTTTCTCTATCTACAAATATTGTTACCATTTATTTATTTCAGTTTAAAGTCTTGTTAATTATTTATACTTTGTTTACTCTGTTTATATAGTTTATTGTTCTTAATATTTCTATGTACTTTCTATTTCCACTGTTTATAATTTTAATAAGTTTATTCACACTGTTTATAATTTTTATCAAAATATTATGTAACTTTCACATTTTTCTATATCCTTTTGCATCTTCTTCGTTCTAACCTTGAAGAAGACCTGCAAAGTCAGGTCGAATGATTGACTTGAAATAAAATATTTGTTTCACTATTTAGTCTCTTTATTACCATTATTGGCATGACACTTAGTGCCTTCACTTAGATTTCATGCAATTTTCAGTAACTTTTAATTAATTTTTACTGTGAATTTGTGAAGAAAAAGTATTATTTGTGGTGGTGTTCGTTTTTGTTGAAGTTCTACCTGCTGGATTTCCTCCTTGAAATTCAGAATTGTGTGAACTTCCACTCATATTTTTATATTTCTGGTTAAGTTAGTTTTGTTCTGACTAAAGAAAAATATTGGTCTTGTTAACTCCAAAAGAAACAAAAAGTTGAATTTTTCTTATGGATTTTTTGTTCCATCCATTTTATTAGTGTAATATACCTAATATGTATATATGTATAAGTAAAAGAACTTATGTAAAAATTTTCGTTCTATTTGCACTAAAAGTGCCATTTTGTAGACTGTAACTGAGCATAGGTAGTCTGCTACAATGGAAAACAGCAGATGGCAATAAAATAGGTAAGAATACTAATAAATCATAAAGAAATAATTAGTTTTGATGCTCTGCTGTAAAACACTCCATTTTTACATACAACCTTTTGCACTAACAGTAGCAATATGCATGCACAGTAAGTACCGGGATTTCATTTTTAATCACAAATCATTAATGGAATACGCAATCTGCGAATGTGGAACTGTTCCGTATTTTAGTATTCGCTGATGAATAAATCCGCAAATGTTGAAGAATTACTGTGCTAAGAAACTGTTGGTAATTCAACTGGGCTTGTTAGAAAATTGTCTCAAGCTTTCAGCATCTCTTGTTTCACTTTCTAAAAAAACTTTCGGTACTTCTTGTCTAGGGGGCTGTTTTGAAACCTCACTTCTTATCTAATGTCATGTCACATAACCTCCCTCTTCTTATCCCACCAAACTTTTGAGTTATTGCATTGTTTAGTTTTCAGTTATTCCCTTATTAGGTTCACTTATTAAATTCTTTACTTTTGGTCCGTTTGTGTTTATTTTTCATTATTTTTAGTTTTTGGCCCGTTTGTGTTTATTTTACTTTTTTTTTTAGTTTATGGCCCCTTGGAATTTATTTTTCATTTTTTTCCGTTTATTTTCGTCATATTTTGGATCGTCTTAGAACCTGGCAAAGTGATTCAAGTAGACGAAAGTCTTTTTTCTAAACGAAAAAATCATGTGAGGCGAGTTTTACTTCAGCAGTGGATGTTTGAATGTTTTATCGTCAAAATAATTGACAGAAAGGCAACAACCTTATTACAAGCAATTAAAGAAAATATAGAAGAGGGAACGGCCATTTATTCGGACTGTTGGAAAGGATACAACACCCGACAACTGAACGAAGCAAACTATCACCATTTCCAAGTGAATCACCGGTATAATTTTGTCGATCCATCAACTGGGGTTCATACTCAACACATAGAACGATTATGGGGCTCAGCGAAGTAGAGAAATAAAGTACATAGAGGAACTGCCCGACAACACCTCGATTCATATTTGTGCGAATTTTTGTGGCGGCAGGCTCACAGAGAAGAGGACCCGTTCCTCGCTATATTAAATAGCATAAAACAATTTTATCTTCCAAAATAAATAAGACAAAAGGAAGTGAATAATTAAGTGAAAATAATTTGTACATATATTGTTTATATTTTTTCTTTTCTATGTAAATATGTTCTTTTAAATGTGTTTTTTTTATTATTTCATTTTGATGTTTTATATGTACATATCTTCTTAAAGTGTTTTTTTATTATTTCACTAATATATGTGTCGTCAAATAAAAGTATTTTTTTTGTTATTGCATTTGTTTTTGTATCTGTTAACACTTTCAATAATACAAATTTAATGCAATAATACGAAGATATGAAGTAGGAGAAGGCTTATCACTACGTTATGGGAGTTATCAGTGCTCAGGTTATAAACATTGGCAGGAGCAGTCAGGAGCGGCCCCCTAGACAAGAAGTACCAAACTTTCTATCTATCCATTCTTCTCTCAGAATATTATTATTTCCTTTATTTTATGAATTGTGGCTATCTTGGATTATTAGAGTGTTTAGAATACTGAAGTTGTGATTACTGAGATTTTACCGAATTAAAAAATATATTATTATTATTATTTCTTTTTAGCATAATCGGCAAAATCAGAATCGTGGTTGCATCAAAATTGAAACCAAACCTAATGAAAGGACCAATTATTCATCTCCTCCTTACTCTGTGGTGGGTGTCCAATCTCAACCTGTTCTTCCTACACAGCGGGTAATTATATTTGATTTTTGTTAAATTTAAAAAAGATCAAAATGGTAATTCATATTGTATTTGTTATATAAGTTTTAATTTGTATGTAATCATATAAAAACTAAAATATTCTAGTTTTAGTATGCTAAATACATCCGCTCAACTCAACTTCCACTTGCTTTTAATACTAGTGAGTGACACGGTTGAGAGAGGAGCAGTGGGTATCTCCTGGAACCTGGCTTTTCCTTCTAAAATTTTGGGAGGTCAAGTCTGGTTTAGAAGTTCCCTGTTCAATTGTGAATTGTGTATATAAGTTTTCCTTTGATTAAGATGTTTATTTTACTTTCCAAGTTCATTTTTATACCTTTTCTTTTTGCTATTTTATTTTAACTTTATGTTCTATATTGCTATTCAATTTATTTTTATCTTCTGTAAATGTGCTGTGAATGTGCTTTCACCACTTTTATAGTTGCTCTTAATAGAGATATTTTTTTATTTTCCAATAAAAGAGGTTTGAAAAAAAAAACATGCTAACGGCAGAGTTTTGTCATCTAAAAATTTTTAAATGCTTAATTTCTATAGTAATAATAATCATTTCTATGTTTTAAATAAATAAAAATTCATCTTTAGTTGTGCATCTTCAAATATTTTAGAAAATAATGGATGGTTCATTAAAAGAAAACAGATAACTAAAAATTGTCAGTTTCATGTTGCTCTATTTTGTCTAATCGTTAAAATTAACTTTTTGTAGAATTGATGTTCTCTGAAATTAAGACATTTTCAGTAAAAAATATCCAAAATGTGATTGATTCTGACAAAACACACTTACAGCCAGAGATTTTCTGTCAAATGCTTCCATTTATTTATGAGGTTTGTCCAAGGAAGTAACTGTTTTGCACAACTAAATTAAAATTGAAGATATCAACACAAAACTTTATTTACAAATTTGCAGTATTTTGTTTTATTTTTCAATGTAATCATTGTTACATATCACAAGGCATATATGGTACATATTATAGGGCACATGCTACCAGTTTTCAATGCTGATATTATACTCTTCTACTGCCAAAGTCCTAAGTTAGAACATCATTTCGTTTTGAGAACTTCATCCTATATGAAATCTTTTTTTCCTAAAAATTCCTTTAGTTTCAAAAGCAAGTGAATATTACTTGGTACCAATCTGGGCTGTAATGAAGATTTTAAAAAAGATCTCGTTTAAAAGTTTGAAATTCTTTTTGTGCAGATAATAAAAATCTTCCTTTAACGTGATTCTTTTGTAACACCTTTGCATAACAAATTTTCTAGGTGGATCTGCTGGAAAGGAGACAAGAAGAACTGCAACAAAAAATTGTTGAACAGCAGACAGAATTAAGACAGGTGACAGAACAACTTTTCATGGCGAAGTATGGCTTGTTTTCTCCTGTGATAAATGTAAGTACATGTTGGTACATTTTTGTTAATGATTGGTTACAGATAGTTGTTAAGTTATGGCCTCCAACTGAAGTAGGAAGATTGACAGGCATGTGAAGCTACCCTCGGTCTTCTCAGCTGTCTTTTCCGACTCATGTCAGTCCAGTGCTCTGTCTGCATATTCCCATCCCCTCAGGTCTTCAGCTACTGAACCCTCTGGTGTTCCTTGGTTTAATTTTTTGGTGGCTCACACATTTTTCATTTAGCTGTTCTAGCCTTTTGATTCTTCCAACTCGTACAAAATGAGAAGCTCAGAAATCATCTTACATCTCGTATATCTGTATTTCTCATTGGATGCTGAGTTTCTTCTTTCTTAGTGGACCCTTGATACATCTCAACATTTTCCCTCATAGTATTAATTTTTTCGCTGAGCTTTTTTTGAGGATCCAGATTGTCTTAGACATAGACCAGAATGGGTCTGATGATGGATTCATTCAAATTTAAGTTTATGTAATGATTTAGCAGCTTACTCCTAAGGAAGCTTCTTAAGGCCCAATGTGCTTCAATAATTCTGCTTTGTATCTTCCTCTTTATCTATCTGATCATTAACAATTGAATCTAGGTAGTTGAATATTTTTCTTTCCTAATCGATAGCTTATGAGAGAATATGTTGATTGGCATTAATTTCTTTGGCATTTGATTTAATATAACTAAATTTTCTATAATTTTCAAGCCTAGGGAATAACAAAAGTTTAAACACAGATGTTTTTGTGATTTTCAGGTTGCTCTTCCATGTCAACCATCTCCCGAGGTTTATGTTACTCACAGTACTCCAATACCGACTATAATTGATACTCAGCAGGTAAAATAAAATTGATCATGTCAGTATAATATTTTTAGATAAAAGTAAAATTTTAAAATATATATAATTCCAATATCTCTTTTTTGGATTCAGGTTCGTCTTGGTAATCAAGCTGAAACATTCACTCTTTCACAACATCAAGCTGATGTTCTCTTCAATCCTCAAATAGAATCACCTAATTCAACTAGAACCAGTCAATAGATTTTTTTCATTTTTTATTTTTAATGCATATGGTCCTCGAGGATTAAAGTTACTTATTTAAAAGAATGATTGAAAGGACTGTTGACTATTTGTGTAATACAAAACTGTCTTGTAAGATACTTTTTCCAACCCAAGCCAAGATTGTTTCAGCTATATTTGTGGATAGTTTTAGTTAAAAAAATTACTAATCATCTAGGGCAGGGGTCTCCAAACTACTTCCCACAAGCACCTCCAATCCAGCCTGTGAAAATTTCTTTGATTAAATTGTAGAATTTTAAAAACTATTAAAAAAAAGAAGAAATTTAGTAAATCACTCAAATACATGGTTAATACATTTATTGCATACATTGTTTCTCTTAGAAAGCTCATTTTATAACTGAAGTGTCATTTATAAGAAAACTTCTTTTGTTTCATAACGAGCCATGGTTCGCGGGACTTAGTGACAATCTCAAAGCACTCTGCAGGACTTAGTGCTGGTAAAAATGTGGCCCGCGAGCCAAAAAGTTTGGAGACCCCTGAACTAGAGGAATAGCTCACCATTAAGTTTACTTGGATGAAAAAAATTTTTTTTTTTCATAGTGATTTCTACATTTTATTTTAAACTTCCATGCTATTTAATCATTAATTACTATTTTTTAAAAAAAGGGGAAGGAATGATCTAGTTAAAAATGGACAAAATTATTAAAAGACCAAGATGAAATCATCTCATCCTTCTCTCTGTTTCCATTCTGCTGGCCTCTTATTAGAACTTTCTCTGTATTTTTAATGAATTTCATGTTTTGAGTTTTGCTTAAGTCAATTTTCCATGATAAAACAGTGATGTTATTATATTGGAAGATAATTGCTTATGTTAAACAAATTATGACATTTGACATTTTGAAAAGATCGATTTAAAAATTTCAGGATACTCATTTTGTCATCTTTATTACAGAGGATTAAAACAGCTCATACACTCAAATTTATAAATTACTCTTTTTAAATGTATCATGAAAATATATTTTGTATTTTTTTTTAAATACTTTTTCAGGTACTTAGTTTATATAATATTGCCATACTTACTTAACGAATACTTCACTTATAGTGAATACTTTAAGATGTATGGATGTGAGTATATTTAAATTAAACACAGTTTCTCATTCTTCGTTTTGTACATATGCTGAAGTTAAAAAAAATATATGTATATTTGATGAATTGAGGACCATTTGTATTTTCGCTCTCATGTTACCATTAGTCCACGTGTCATACATATATATATATATATATATACATATATATATTACTTTGTTAACATTTGTTACCAATCATATTTAATTGTTAGTTGGGCCTCAATGTAAAAGCTCAGTTCTATTGCTAGGCCCTATGGGTCTGTTAGTAAAATAAGAGAACATTTTAATGATTAAAAAATGAATTTGATTAAAAAATATTAGCATTCCTTTTTTTTTTTTAAATTAACTAATTTATGTAAACGTATATGTTAACTGTATGGTCTTGATTAATATTTGCTTTACATATTTTTATCTTTATTCATTTTTGTTGTCAAAACATTTAGTTTATATATGGACTGAGTATGGACTGTTGAACCTAATTTTTTGTAGTTTGATTTTTTCAGATTATTTAGTTGTCCTCTACAATATTGGGAATGCAAATTGTTTTTTAAACAAATATCTTATTTTTTATTAGATAATATTTTAGAACATAGTTATATTTTGTAGATTATTAATATTAATATTTATTTTTCTTATTGAAATATTTCTTTTTAAAAAAATATAAAATAAGCTTTAAAAGGTGTCGGGTTACTAAGAATGTTAACAGTTTTTAATTTTTTTTTTTTTTTTTTTAATATGGCTGTGTGGAAAATAGATCATTGTGGTGCACTACTTGTTTCAATAATTCTTATTGTTTGTAAGGTTCTGTTTGTTTATCTGAACACATCCACATTCTTTATCCATATATTTTAATAAATATCAATTCCAGTTGATTTAATGGAGCAATTAGTATTTATACAAATAATGAATAAAGTGAAAAACTGGAGCATATGTACCTGTGTGTTGGTTTACTTACTTTATACATTGTAATATCAGCATTATCATTCTATGATAGATGGGGCATATCAATTTATTGAATTCTGATGATCAAATGATGTTTAAGTTCATATTAACATTTTTGTAATTCCTTTAAAACAAAAAAAAAGTAATATATTTGTAACTAATACTCTTAAAATTAATTGAAAACAAAAAATGTGTTTAAAAGTGCCGCATGAGCTTATTTAATAATCACTCTATTATTCTAAATGAATAGATGAAATCAATTCATTATTTGATTTTACATTATGGTAAATGTGACAGTCTATTTAATGTGTTGCTCTCATGAAATTGTATGAAATTTTTATTTAGCTTATTTTGATTTTGTTTCATTGAAAACATCCCAGCTATCTGATTTTTATATAAAGTGGAGTTGACTCTATCTCTAATAATTGTTTTTTTTTTTTTTTGGCCTGTAGAACTCATGTTTCAGAGTTTTGGTGTATTGTTATTTTTTTTTTTTCATATATACTTATATATTCCATTAGTTTTATACTTGTATAGTATTTGTTGTGAGCGTTTGCTAATTTAATTTATTCAGTGCAGTACCTGTGATTTTTTTAATTTTCTAGTTAAGTATTTAGTTAAATTTGTTACCTTATTGAATTAGTTTCTTATTAATATATTTTTAGATAATTTGTTAAGAGATCTGGTGTCGTGTACCCTTAAGTTTGTTACCATATAAATTTTGTAGTTTTATTGTAAATTACCTGTAAATTTTATTAAACCTAGCCTTTTTTCTATACTTAATTTATATTCTTAATTATATATAGTTAAAATAAAGTATTACCAGATGCAGGGGTGCCCATCTCCCCCAAGATTGATGGCGAATGACCTTCCTTCTCCCCTCCCTAAGATATTTTATTACTGTCCTCTTCTTAAAAACAGAAATAAAATACCATAAGTTATATACAATTACACTTACTGAGGTTTGTTCCATTTATTCCCTTAGTCTCCTTATTTGAAACTTTTCAATCCGAAAATTCATAACTCTGTCAAAAAGTGCCACCTCAAAAATTCAATATCTCATAAAAATTTACACCATGAAACCCCCTTGTGGACACCGCTGACCAGATGTAAACTTAGGAACAATACTTTTGTTTTAGGTGGGTTGAGTATACCATTCACTTTTATAATGAATCCCTAATTATTTGTATAAAAATGGTTTAATATTGCAATCCACCTATTTATTCATAATATAATTTAGTGGTAGTTTAAAATGCTTTGGAAGGGGTGTTTGTGAAGTTAACACCTTTCTGCTGTCTTTGCAGTTCTAACACTGCTTGGAATAAAAAGGACATCCACTCAAAGCTACTTAATTTTCCTCGTTTAGACCTTTCAGATTACCTATAGTTTAGTTATAAAACAATAGTTTGTTAAATGTTAATAAAAATTAACATTCAAATCAGGTTCGTGTTAGTGTTATAGAATATTGTAGGAAGTAATATTTGTTTGTTGTTGGATTTAAATTTTAGGTTGTATATATTTTATCTTTTGAGATATTTTTTTATATGTTTAAAACTGGTTGTATACTATTGTGTCTTGCATACATATAATTTTATATCAATTCATTTTTAATGGTGGTAATTAAAGATAATATGCCATATTTATGTAATACAGTATATATCAGATAAAGTTCTTGATGAACTTTATATAAAAGTTGATTGTTAAGTCAGACTCCCTAGCCCTTTTTAATTTCTAACTTTTTATTCAGTTACTGTTTAATCTTCCTTCAATTTTATCCCTTTTTTTTATTATTATTTTGTAATTGTTATAGAAAAACTAGCAAAAGAACTCCATCTTTCCAAGGAGTTCAAACCATATTTATATTGTGGAGAATATATAAATATAATCTTAAATTTTTTTTTTGTGAATAATCTATTTTGTGATTAAAATACAAACATATTTTTCTAACATAATGAGCTTATTGGAAAATTAGCTAATATGTAAGGCGGATGGAAGGACTATATTATTTACCATTATTTTTGTAAATGTAAATGTATTCTACTGTAAATATAATAAATGTATAAACAGTTCATTTAACTGAGCATAGATGAAATTAATGATTTTTCTAATTAGTAAGTTATTTTATGCATTTTCATATATTTGTCATTTTATATTGTTTGAAAATGTTGGCTTGCCTTATTTTTTTTTTTAATTTATAATTTAAATTTTTGTGATAACTAAAATATCTTACTTAAATAAAAATATTTTAAAATTGAACTTAATTTTTTTTTTAAAGCTTCCTAAATTCAAAAATATTTAATTAAGACATTTAAAGAAATTAGGCTCTTGTGAATCTGTATCATTCATTCAGTCAACCTGTCTCTATGGCAAGGGTATTTTAAGATGAGCTCTATAAAATTCAAAAATCTTTCTAAACTTTAACTACTAACTTCCTTTGATATGTAGTTTTCAATTATTATTTTCAAACCTAATTAAAAGTGAACAGGTTTTCTGGTAACCAGAGCAGTATCACAGTACCTATCTTTATTATATATATTATTTCTCTAATACTACTATACAATATCCAATGATTGAACCATCATTTTGAAGATCATCCTCTCCTTCATTACTGACAAATAAGCAAATCTCCCAGAAAAAGCAGATGAAAAAATTATTAGGAAATAGTTTATTTGTACACAATTCAAGAAGTATACAATTTAGTATTGATTATCACTTCGACACTTTGAAAGGTTTCTGGATTCTCTACAAAACCAAAAAAATAATATGACCATTATTAGCAATTCTGTAGCCCGTTTAAATTCATTCATATGTTTTGGTTTATTATTTTCAATATTGAACCATTGTAAGCGACCAAGAAAAAAAAAATATATTTTTTTACTATATTCAGGGTAAAGACCCCAATTATTTTGACACTTGTAACTTAAAATTTTATAAAATAAGCGTTTAGGAGTCCATATACTTGTCATCCTTTTGAAGGTTGATTTATGTACCTTTGAAAGGGCGTCAAGTTTGAAATCCTACATGATCCTAAATGCTTACTTTTATCAAATTTAAGTTACAAGTCTCAATAATTGGTGCCTTTCACTTAGTTGTTTATCGTTTTTAAAAGATTTTCCATTTTTGTCAGTGTTGCTAGTCTTCTTGAAGCCCTCCCACAGCCATACTCTCATCCACATCCTGCAACCATCTCTTCTTGGTTTGTCCTCAGTTCTGCCTTTCTATTGGCCAACAGTCAAAGATTGCTTTTGAAAACCATTCCTTTTGGATATTCTGGTCCTCTCCTGACTCCAAAGGCTTTAAATACTTTATTATTGCTCTAAATTATGGAGTCAATAATAGATTTTAGTTACAACCTATTTTTCTAAAAACAGTTTTCAGTCAGGTAGTTCTAGGTATATTTCCTTATGTTTGTAGAATCCATTTAGAATTCTCATATCTATTCTGCTCAAATAATTGTAAGTTATTGACCACTCCTGTTTATGGTCAATTCACCATGTCTTCCTATTATTTTGTTACATACTTTACTGCCACTCCTTCATTTTAATCATCTAACTAGACCAAGATTTTATGTTATGGAATTTTTTCTGTTAATTTCCATTGGTCTTCATAGAAATTATCTATCTCCAGGTGTGGTTTATCATAGATACTTAAGAAGACTACAACATGCCCAAAAATTTTACCTCA